ATGTCTGATATTAAAAATAGAAAACATTAAAAGTTTGCTTTAGCATGATATGTATTTACACAGTTGGCACTTGCTAAGGATCAATTGCTGCCGTTGTTAGTTATGAACGTGCTAGGAGCATTTCCAGGACTACCTGGTCTCTTCGTGGCTGGCGTGTTCAGCGCCGCGCTAAGGTACATGTATATTTACAAGATATTGTACATGTATGACAGTATATTTTTTTATATAATGTCTTTTACATATTGTTTGAATTTTTCATGTAATTCTTCCAGTTCATTGTCGACCGGTTTAAACTCTATGGCAGCTGTAGTATTGGAGGATTTTGTCAAGCCTTTTATCAAAACTCCTTTTACGCAAAGGGTCACTGATATTTTTATGAAACTCACGGTCGTCATCTTAGGAGCGATGTGCGTTGCGCTTGTTTTTGTCATCGAACAGGCAGGCACACACGTGCTACAGGTATAATTAAGAAGAACCAGCCTACCTCGTAATAAACAAAAGTACAAGTAAATTTTCTTTTTTTGTTTCAATATTACAGTTGTCTATAAGCTTAGACGCCATTACTACCGGACCGTCACTTGGTATCTTCTGCATGGGAATACTGTTACCGTGGATTAACTCTAAGGTATCGATGTTGCACTTATTTCAACTTGACGCAAAAGAAATTCTACATAATTATACGATTGAACTTTGTTGTTGTTGAAAGTAAATTTTATTCTGTTTAATTTGAAATCAGGGTGCTCTAGGCGGAGGACTTGCAGGTTTGAGTTTTATGAGTTGGTTTATCTTTTCCGCTGAAGCAGCTATCGCTAGTGGAAAAATTAAGTTAGTGTTATGATGATATTTTTGTAAGTGAGAATATATGATTATTTATATTGTTAGTTGCGTTCTGAGTAAACGCAACCATATGTTATCAAACTTATCCGATAGTCATTCTCGCTTGTAACAGTGAGCGCTTTAATGTTGCTATTATTAAAAAATATATATCTCATTATTTCTTCATTTTTTTTTTTAGATTTGACACAAAGCCTGTTACTACAGAAGGTTGTACCTACTCATTTCCACAGATAGACAATTTATTGTTATCTGTGCCGCCAGTAGCAGACGACGCGAGTGAAGGGTAAGTTAAAAAAATTATGTGCACATTTCTGATAGTCTATTGTACTTTTTTATACTTTTTTATACTTACGTAATATGTATTTATATGTATATATAATAAATTAACATAATCATTATAATAGGGAATCTTGGGCATTATATCGTCTTAGTTATTTTTGGTACACCATGACTGGTACTTTGGTGACTGTAAGTGTTGGACTTCTCATAACTCTTATCACTTCCGAAGATATTAAAAAAGTGGATCCGATGCTTGTGGCACCTTGTGTACGAAGATTCTTAAGAACCTCGAATAAACACGGTGCACCTGAAGAGCTCCATCAAATCAAGGTTTTATATTACGCATATGTATTTTGATTAAATTGTTTTTCTATCTTTCTATATCCAGTTCTTTTTTTTCTTTAACTGATACTTTATAATTTGCAAAAGTTAGTATAAAAATTTTGATTTATAATCTATTATTCTTTGTTTTTATTTGTTATTATTAGGTTGCAAAGTCAGATGAGAAAGTGGTATCTCGTGGTCTCAATGAGAATGATAAATTATTATTAGAAGCGACTTCAACATGATAGTAAAGTTAAGTAACGGAATGTGTTAAACGTACTTCTAAGGTTTGTTATTTGATTAAAAAAAATGCGATATATCTTAATTCAATCGCGTATCTATTTGTATAAAAATCGAAGTGTAATAATTAGTAAATTATACAAAAAAAAATCTTTATATATTAATATAATGTTTTTAAAAATATGTATATATTTATATGTGATATATTATATCTTATTGATAGAGTATGTTGTGTCTGTTGTAAAAATTATTACGCACGGATGTGTACATGTGTATGTATTTATTTGTAATTGTGTGTGTTGTGTGTTATATATATACATTGTGTTTTTGTAATATTTAAGTTTCTTTAACGTAGTTTTAGTGAATATCAAAAGTGTAAAATTTAAGCGTAGATTATATTGCAATAAATAATAAACGCGCAGTGATAAATCTCCTTGTATAGCAAATTGAACATATTTTATCGTAGAATATTTATATCATGTTACGCGCGAGACTGTTACTCCTTTAAACAAAAGTTTAAATAAACCGCCAACAATGTTTTTTCGCTTTGCACGCGTCGTTGCGACATTTGCGACAATAGTTTTTTCTTCAAAAACGATCACGTTTTTTTTTATGACAAATTAAATATAGTTTTGTTTGTATAAATTGTGAAATTTAAAATGACCGATCTCGTGATGAGAAGATGAGAAAGGAAAACAGAAAAGAATAAGAAAAACCATTGCAACTTTTCGTACAACATAAATGTGATATACCAGAAAAGATGTGATANTCAAGAAAAGAATCTTATTTTAGCGAGCAACATCAGAATTCGTGGAGTGTAGTCAAATATCATCTCCTTTTACATCATCATTTGCTGCTCTGTGCTTTATAAATTTTATTTTATTTTCTTAAAAAAACTACATATATATATATAAATACAAAATACACAAAAAACCATATATATTATACAAAGGTGTTTTAACGGTACACAAATATAATATCTGAAAAGTTGCAATTCCAAGAAATATAGCTTTTGCTTTTTTATTTAAAACTCTTTATCAGTGTGTTTTCTATTTCCAAGTTTCATTTTACAATTTTTTTATACATTACAATAGAATACAATTCTATTACACATTTATTACATAAAACATACAATATAATACAATATTATATAATATAATATAAATAGTTATATATAATCCTACCTACCTACCTACCTATCTTAGACATATCTTAAACGTTACTAGCGTTATTAATTAGGATTAAGGCTGCATAACAGCCTTGATCCTAATTTGACATTTTCATTTCTTCTTACTTATTCGGTCTACCATATTTCCTACCTACCCGGCCTAATATATTTTCTACAAGCGCTTGTAGATACGCATCCCTACCTACACAGATATCTATTTACCTACCTACTTTGGAAAGTTTTAAAATCTATCAAATATTTTACGCGAGGGACAGTTGTTTTAAAATTAAAAAGTATTATTTTAAAGTAATTTTACTTTCGCGACCGAGTTTTTATATTTTACGATTTAAAGAGAGTATATACCCACCCGATAAAAGCGTACCATATGTAAATAGATGAGATAGAATAAAAGAAATGAAAAAATATATATTTAAATACATATATTTCAAATATATATTTAAATATATATTTTTGCAAAAATAAACTAGAAGAGAATAAATGTAGAGAATAAATATGAGGAGCATAAGCCTCCAAAAAACAATTCTATATCGGTTCTTTAAGAGAAAGTGATATAGAAAAGTGATATATAAAAGAACACACACAAGTTTCAAAAAATAATTCTATATCGGTTCTTTAAGAGAAAGTGATATAGAAGTCTCGAAAAAAAATTCTATATCGGTTCTTTAAGAGAAAGTGATATAGAAATATGAAAGTAGAAAATATAGATAAATATATATTGAAAAAATAAAAAAAACATAAAAAAGCACATATATATAGAAAAAATTCTATATCGGTTCTTTAAGAGAAAGTGATATAGAAATATGAAAGTAGATGTACAAAATATAAATATATATATTAAAAAAAAAAATGAAAAAAAGCACATATATAAAAAATATTATATACAAATATAGACATTTTATCAAAAAAGAATATATCGTCACTCCCTACGTATAATTACATAAGTGTCACATACCGGATTTTCAGTTTATTGCATAGTAACAAATTAAGAAAGTCATGTTCTTTATGGTCACCAAATATTTAAAAAAATATTTATAAATGAAGTAAAAATTTGAAACCGAAAGATCCCTTAACTAGGGAAACTATATGAAACTTTAAACTTTTAAAACTGCTCTTCTCTAAAATTTGCGTTTTGGAATTACAGGATTATACGAAGTGACAATATATTGAAAAATCAGTGCGATTACTACTCATGCAGAATAATTTATTCTTCTCAAAAATTTTCATGGTAGAGATATGAAAAACATAATCGATTATTTAATTCTAAATTATTATTTTTCCTTTATATATGCTCAAATTCTATATCTAGGTATACATAATAATTTTATATGAGATTGAAAAGATCTCATATATCATTGTATCTAATTAAACATCATCAGATATAGGATATGTCCATACATGAAGGATATTTATTTCCAGACTATTTAAAGAGAATTTAAAGATAATATATATAAAAAAGCAACTTTTGTAACAGTGAGGTGCTTTTTATGTGAGAAGAATAAATTATTTATAATAACGTACCGTTGCGCGTAGTCCATCGTCGTCCATCGCTGTATCTTCAAC